AGTGCATCTAAAGTCCAAAATCAATCTCCATAATAGTCTATGTGTTTCCTATTGCCAAAGGGGCCCTTTAGAGTAGTGAGAGAAGATCTTCACCCTGAAACCTACAGCATTCTTTTTCAGCAGGAAGTAGCTAAGAGAATACCCCGTCCCCTTTTCCTTATGCCTCAGGGTGAAGTCTCTCTCAAGGAGGAGTAATAGGGAATGGCAAAGGACACACTGACAAAGGAGATTAATCAGAACTGGCTTTGACAAGCACTGTGGCAATTGGATAATTAAAACAGACTTTCAAGGGGGGGAGAAAAAGAAGAATGAACTGGGAAAGAGGGTAGAGAAAACAGTGCAACAATGAATGAATGAAAACCCCAAATCTCTGTAAATGTTCATTAAAATTAATAAAATTTAATAATAAAATAAAAAAAATCATGTGTGCAATTATGACAAGATAGTCTAGAAAAGAAGCAACTTTCCTTTAAATTCTTATTCTAAAGCTTTTGCTTTTGATTCATTTTCTAATATTTATAATATGAATCAATTTTCATCTCTCACTAACTAAAACATTACTCTTTTTTATGTGAAGGGTGTAATGTTTTGCTAAGAAAGACAAATTTTATCATAAAAGGATTTTAAATGGTTGGCACTTTCTCTATATTTAAACTATACTTTGTATTCTTGTTTGATTTTCTTTATACTGAAGAATCTTTTCAATAATAACATACATAACACAAGTTCGTATGAACAACTGGCGGGATCTTATCCACATTGCTATGCCGCTCTCACAGTCTCTGCTATGCTTCAGTCCATTGTTGCCTTCACTGTGTAACAAACAAGCAAATTACTCACTCCCTCACTCCCTTAGAACCCATCTCCATTTAAGTAGAAACTACCTAACTTCCACTATATCAGGATTCTCATTCATCATTCCAAGAATGACTGGGTAGCAGTATGCCGAGCTCCCTTTATACAGGATGGAGCAGCCACTTTGCAGCTCAACACAAGTCATAGAGGTTCAAAGGAATGGACGTCTTAACCCAGAGGCAAAGATGTTCCATTTTACCATGATTGTGCAGAAAACAAGGAAGTGACTATAAGTTACATTTTTTTCCAATAAAATTTTTATTTTCTACTGGTTTGCTTACAAAGTTCATATACATTGTTTTTCACACCAGGTTTTTCCCATTTCCTTCACCAACCCTTCCCTCTACCCATCAAATTGTGCAACCCTATGAATACCCTCTTGCTCATCCTCACCCCTCTGCTCCTACCGTCCCCCAACCCTTGGATCCTCATACACATTTCACGAGTTATCTTTCCATTTCTGCAAAAAATGGTCTTACACAGTATTTGTTCTTATGAGACTGAGCTAGTTCACTTAGCATAATACAAGTTACTTTAAATTACTAAAATGATTGAAAATATTTAGGAGAGAAGCCATTGTGCTTCAGCATTTATTAAAGAAGCAATTCTTACCCAGCAATTCCACTACTGGGAATATACCCCAAAGAGACCTTAATTGCCACCCAAGCAGATATATGCACACCCATGTTTATCGCGGCTTTGTTCACAATAGCAAGGAGTTGGAAACAACCTAAGTGTCCATCAACAAACAAATGGAGCCCGCCTGCCCTTCCGCACCGCCGGGCTGCTCGGCTCTCGGTGTGTCCCCCTCCTCCTAGCTCAGCCGCCTGACTCTCTCCCTCCTTCCCTCAGAGGATGTCCGCCTTCCAGATCAACCTCAACCCGCTCAAGGAGCCGCTCGGCTTCATCAAAGTCCTCGAGTGGATTGCATCCATCTTTGCTTTTGCCACCTGTGGAGGTTTCAAGGGGAAAACAGAAATTCTAGTGCATTGCCCTAAAAATGACAATAAAACTGTCACAGCTACTTTTGGTTACCCATTCAGGTTGAATCAGGCATCATTTCAGGATGCTCCAGCAGTAAATGTGTGTGGAATAAAATGGAATGAATACGTTCTTATAGGAAATTACTCTTCCTCTGCACAATTCTATGTTACATTTGCAGTCTTTGTCTTCCTGTACTGCATTGCTGCTCTTCTACTTTACGTTGGTTATACAAACCTCTATCGGGATAGTGGGAAACTTCCCATGATTGACTTCGTTATCACTCTTGTTGTCACTTTTTTGTGGTTGGTGAGTACTTCAGCTTGGGCTAAAGCTCTTACAGATATTAAAGTAGCTACCGGTCACAACATAATTCAGGAACTTGAACCCTGTAAGCATCCAGGAGTGAACTGCAGTTTCGGCTCGGTGAGCAGTATGGGATCCCTAAATGTATCTGTGATCTTTAGATTTTTGAATATGATTCTTTGGGGAGGAAATGCTTGGTTTGTATACAAGGAGACCAGTTTACACAGTCCATCAAATACTTCTACTTCCCATGGCCAAGGAAATATCCCACCTGCTGCTGAAATATAATTAAAGGGAGAAATACACTGTGTAAAATACATGTCTATATTATGACCTGTTGACAACATCTTGAGAAGCAATTATTTGTTTCTATAATAAATAATTTTTCAATTAATTGGTGGGTTTAAACTTTTACTGTCTTTTTACATAAAGCTTGTGCCTTTCCTTGAAATTTAAGATGTAAATGTATTCTCTCATGTAAATTTTAAATTCAGGGGCCTATTGTGGGATGATACATCTTTTTAAGTGAACAATATTTCTTCACTGAATTCTTTGCCTTCCAAAGTGTTTACACCTTAATCCTTAACATATAACTTTATTAAGGAAACAGTTATACTGTCATTTTCATAATAGGAGAACTTTTATTTGGAATATACACTACTGTAAGTTTGTACAGATCATATACCTAAGACCTGCCTTTGTTTAAGAAAGCTTTAATTATA